CTGGAATTTCATAAGTAGCTAAACTGTGACCATCTAGGGCATGCTGAACGAAAAGGACATGTCTGAAGTAGAACATGCTAAAATGAGGAATGTCCGTACAGTCTGGCATGAAGCCAAGTGCATACTGAATTAGGTCACTGCTTTAAGTGTGAATGTTTCCCCTCTTTAGAAAGACATACTCATCCTTTGCAACAAGAAACCAAAACAGAATGCTAATATAATAAAAAATTTAAAAGCATTTTCAATTAGCATGCTGGTCTATTCCCTTGTGCTTAGAGAATCCATGAGCTCTTTTGTAAGGAACAGAAACATTTCCATAGTTGAATATACATAAGGCCCTGGAAATGCAGAAAGAATAACAACCAGTTGCTTCTGGAAAACTTGCAAATCTTTATAAGCACTGTATAAGCCTCAGATGTCTGGTTCTTTGGAAATCATAGGGCAAATTGCAAATAGACTTGTTTAGAAGAATTGAAATAAAGTGAAATATAAACATGTGCCATTTAAAGCTTGGAGCTTGATCTTCAAACACTGAAATGCTGAACCTGGGGTCTTCTGAGTGATTACTTATTTCCAGATAATCTTACTGTTCCCTTTTTATAAACCTCAGAATGTGACACTGAATTAATTGTCCTATTGCAATTCTTGAAATCTTGTGTGCTTTTGCTAATCCTGGAGTCTCACAGCCTGCTTTCTCTTGTAATAATCTTTTACAGCCTGGGAGTAGTTCCTGAAATTCCAAAAATAGTCTGTGCGAGACCCAAGGCATATTACATTTGGGTTGTAAATATCCCCAACTAGTGCTTTTCTGGAAACAGAGGATAGTGAAACAAGGCTCGTAATCCCTCCTTTTCTAATGGGATGAGAATTAAGATTCTTAGTGGCTTCACTCAGTCCTTGAAGGATGCAAGACGAAATCTGTTTGACTCCTTTGATGACTCTTCTTAGCAGAAGTAATACTGGGATGGGGGAAAAAAATGTCCGAATTGGCTCAGTCCCCACTGCTTTAGCAAACTAACTTACCCCTTCAGCTCTCCACATGCAATTTAAAATTTTAATGTTGTTTAACGTAACTGGTTGCACAAACATTCCTTGCCTTTAAAGTCCACAGGGAGGAAGTAGCGGGAAAAACGCCTGTTCTTTACGGTGTCACATGAAAACTGTCAAAGACAAATAGGCAAGGCCCATCTCTCTGCAAAAAGGCTATTTTGTTAGTAAGATTTTCTCTAGATCACTAGAAAAAGGTTTCAACTAATGAGAGAATAATGAGAACCTAGAAGGAAAAGAACCAGTGAGCTCCCTACAGCCTACCACGTGGAGTTCCTATTGCTTCAGGAACAGCTTATTGCTTCTCTTGCCCCAGCACCCTGAAGGCAGTGCTCCACAAAGCAGCCCTCCGGTTTAAAGGGGTAAGGTGCCAGAAGGAATGCTCAGGACTTACAGTTACTACCCATAAGCTTTTGTTCCTGCCTTGGTGAGGCAGTGCAACAGCGAGTCCCTGTGGAGGCATGCTGGCCTTCTTAATCCATGCTTACCATAGTGGTATAGGCTTGGCCACAGTTAAAGTTATTAAGAACAGAGTTGTTCTTTCACTGCCCCCTGCTATTGTCCCAGGAAATCTTAATCTCCTGGTACATTGTGTCCTCTTGATGCTACACCAGGAAATTTGCTGTCACTTCCTTCTAAGACCTGAATGAGACCTAAAGAAACTTAGTGACTCATCAGTATTGAACACAGGGCAATTTACTGGTAGAGCAAGAATTGAATAAAGGCCTACTAGGCTAATGTCTCAGCTTCAGTGGTGTCTATTTATTGCTTAACAAGAGTTACTGGTTGTTTGAAGCCCATGATAGTAGGAGGTTGTGTGATTGAGGTGTCTTTAAGTTAGACGTTCAGTGATAAACCAAATCTGGCCGTGGTTTGCAGCTGCCTGCACTGCCCACTACCAAACTGTACCGTGCTAGCGCAAAGAATCTCTCAAGACTGTCTTAATTAGAAATACTAGCTCCAGCTTTCTAGTACATGCTTTTATTTTCTTTAATTATCCTGTAAAAGTGAGGAGAAAGGCAAAGGAAAAACATGAAGTTGTCGTCTTTGTGTACTGCTGAGCTGTGAGACTCAGCCTTTTTTCCTAATCTGTCCCCAGTACCAAAAGCATCTCTTCATAACTTGTAAAGCTGATTTCTGTAGCGGTACGGTAGCTGTGTATGTCTATACAGTGATGCAAAAATGCTGTTCTTGCCAGCAGTTGTAAGGCTCTGCGGTGAAAAATAGTTGGGACTGCAATATTTTAGTCAAGGAGGTAGTTTGATCATTTTTCAATATGCCTTGACTGATCTAAGATATTCCAGCTTCTTCATGGAGTGGCTTTAGTGCAGCCTAGCATTTCTCTAGGTTTAAAGAAGCCTGCGGTTCTTTGTGGGATTAATTGTGGCTTCCCCTCTTGCAGTCTAACAGAACAAGAATTCGGGAAGAAAGGTGAAAAAGCATCGTATAGGGAACTTTGTACTAAAGGAAGCTTGGGATGATACTACATCATTTTTGTGAACTGGTTTTATCCTGTCGATTGTTTTTCTTCTGTCTCCCTTGATTCACCACGTCTGGAACCTGGTTAGTAGTCTGGGGATACATCTGGTGTTGATCACTTTTTATAGGCATTTAACTTGCATTTATATAATGTTGTGTTTGTGCAGTGAGGAGTGACTGACTTCTGTCTTATTTGAGCTTCAAAGGATGTCATCAAGAATTCAGTTGATAAAATTCTTACTGCTTTTATACCAAAGTGTCCGGTAGCTTTAAGTGAGTTCAAGAAGTTTGTTTCGGATAACTATTGCCTTTAGGGTGCTGTATGAAGAAGTTCCACATGATGGATCTAGCTTATTTGTCAACAGGGTCATAGGCAGGGACTTCAGCACCAAAAGTACTAATAACTGCTTCAAGCAGTCCTGTAGACCTCAGCTGGACAACTCCAAGGTGTGCAGCTCTTGCATATCAGGCACACTAGGTTTTGCATGCAAACTTAGGATCCGCTGTCACAGGCATTGGTGTTGGTGGTATGAATAAATTATTTAATCTTTCAGGCCTTGTTATTGGAGCTGTCTTGCAAATGAGGATGCTGAATATCATGATACCACTGATAACGTGGTACCTGGTTCTCACGCAATAGCTGATGCTGGAAGCCAAATGAGAAGTGAGACATAATGGGAAGGACATAATCCGGGAGAAATGTTGCAAGGTGTTTGTTGTAAACACATGGGGTGCACCATGGCACTGTGACTTAGTTGCAAGGATGGAGGAAGATGGGGTTTGTGCCTGCTGGTGGTGTTAGATAGCAATCTGTCCAACCCATATGTAAGAGGTATTGGAGCGTGCAATTTTTACTAATCTCATAAGCATACTGAAACTAAACTAAAGTTACTCAAGTCCCAGAACTTCCTCCAAACAATAATGACACAACACGGTCAAAATGGATGTAGAGCTAATAGATCTCTGGATAAATTTTAATGAGCTTCACTTCTTTTCTACAACCAAGTTTTAAATTTAAGTATTTTATTAACGTTAGAAAGTAGACTAACAGCTATGTATTGAGCTTACTTTGTAGCTCTTTATGCTGTCATTGAAGAGGCCCATAAACCTTTTTGCTGACTATTGTTGTGGGGTACAATTTCTGATTTCCCCTTTTTGCCAAACTGTGGTCTTTTTCCCTGGTCTTTTCCTCCAGGCTGGTTTGGTCAGTGGTGTATGAGGGTGACCTGTGTAAACAGTCAGTGCCTCTTGACACTGGCCTACACAAATCAGAAGGTGGCAATGTTAGTGAATGGATGGTCTGGAGCTCCCTTTCATCAGTCAGGAATTGGGGTTTGAATTTTAATTTCTGTTGAATCTGACCTATTCTGAGATGCTGTTTCTGTGAACATTGATGTTTAAATTTGCAATACGTCATTCACGAGTGAATAACTATTTCATAAAAGATATTTACTTAAAGACAAATGGAAGTGCAAGCTGCTGCTTCAGAGTAGTTCTTAGATATTTATTTGTAGTTTAGAGGAGTGGGAAGGGCGTGGGGGTTTGTTGGTGTTTTCTTCCTCCCACAGTGGAAAACAAAACAAAACGTAACGAAGCCAAGAAGGCATGGGTGAGTTAAAACAAACATAACTTGATCAGACTAGAAGAACCCTTGATGGTTTAGGTAACCATGTGAAAAATGTATTTCATTAGACTGTCCATACTGTTATTTTCCAGACACTGTGTCAAAGGGAATCATTGT